CCAATTTCTTTCCACATGCCTGAACTTTCTCTTACAGGTCTAAATAGATGCTTCTCTGCTCTCTTTACCAAACTGTCTCTAAGTCTATCCTTAACCTTTTTAAGTGTTAAAGAAAAACAATGAGGATTTATACCTTCCAGAAAATGTCTTCTGGGCTTTTAAAATGCAGTATTACAAAAACAGCATCATCATGTACATTTTAATGCACCAAAGATGTACCTTATAGCTGTACTTTAACTGCATGTGCATTCATCTCTGGCATATGACCCTTCTAAGAGACAGGATGGTTTGAATGGTTGGTGGAATCAGCTTTGGTTGATGGATGGCACAACTAACACCCATTGCAACCCCTGTGCTGTACGAAAATAGTAGTGAATTTGAGGCTGAACATACCCTTGTTGAAGCTTATGTCAGCTGAGGATTTTTCTGGGTGTGCTCTGGGCTCTAGGTTCATCCTGCTATTGACTGAGGTCCAGCAGACTGCCCAAAGGGTCTGCTAAAGTCCTGTTCTATCTACTGCAGCTCTGCCTGAGCAATGCTTGCATGCAGCCGCTGCCCACTGCCAGCACTGGGGAAGATCCCTCTGACCCGACTGAGAACTGTGACATTAAAACCTGAGTGTGACAAATGCTAGAAAACTTCTGACATGCAGAACAGAGCTGTATTAAGGAAGACCTGCATCACAAACAGGGCTCCATGTGCTCATGAAAAGGAGTATCCTGTAATTAAAGGAAAATTAGCTGGAGAGATGTAATAACAGCAAAGAGCTGTATGTATCCCGGGGGGAAATTTGCCTCTCTCCTCGTCTGAAGCAGCATTGGGTGACTTATCAGTTTGAGAGATGTGTTATGATTTCTGCTCCTGTCAATGACCTACTGTGTTTATTTTTCCCATCTAGGCATTTCATTTATCTGCGACCATCTCTATAAATGTGTCCTTCTCCCATTCCTGTGCATGAACTTTTGCAGACAAAGATTTCATGTACATGCAGAGGAAAAAAAAAGCCCAAGTGCCGCATTCAGAAGTCCCTGCATAAGCTTTTCAGAAGTATAAAGAAACTTCCCATCTACAAAAATTGAGGCTGTTGATAAAATTCCCCCTGTATCTTAGCCAAGTCATGCCAAGGAGAACAGCAAATACCTGTGCTGCCATGCTGCGCGCATTTTGAAGCCCACTTTCACGGGGTTGTACATGCAATAGTGGGTTTAAGCCACAACGGTACACAAGATGGTTTTTCCATCTGAGATGCATCCCACCAGGGAGACCGCACAGTTTGGCTAGCCAGAGCCATCCAGCGCAGTCACCAATGAGCAGCATGGGCTCCTATACTTACATTTTTGCTTCGGAGAGAGTTATCTTGTCCTCGCAGTCAAAAAGGACTTCTCCTTTCTTGATCCGGCACCATGTGCTCTTGACTCGCACCAGCTGGAAGTCTGTCTGCTGGGGCTTCTGGGGCATGGTGGCCAGGGCTGCTGGAGCAATGATCTCTTCTGACACCGGCATGTTTCCAGAAGGTAAAATCTCCCTGTAAAGAGATCTCCTGTAACTGGGTGCCTTTGAGGTGCTTTTTAAAGGCTTCAGGTGACCAGGTATTGGAAGGGGAGGTCTTGTCTCCACAGGGGAGACCAGTTACAAAACTAAGATTATCTAATCTAGGATGCACGTTTGGGGTGCTAGGAGCATTTGAAGACACGTGCAAGTACCAGGATGGGGTTGTGTAATCAGCTAGTTTTATAATGCTTAAGAAGTACAATAGGAGTGCATACGTTAACTTCCATCATGATGCCCTACAGCAAATTTAAAGTTATGAAAGGCAATTTGTGTGATTCTCCATGATGATCAGGAACCTCCTTTGCTGTGCAGAGCCTCTGATCTGGCTGCGGCTCTACCCCACTCTTACGGAGAGAGACGGGGTGGGGATGGGATCGATACCAGCTGGTTAAACCTCTTTTGAGCTCACATTCCCGGGATTCTCTTGTGTCGAGGAACAGAACGGGGGGTTTTTGTTGTTGTTTTTAGCTTCTATGGTGGGTTTAAAAAAATAATCAGAGACAGTTTTTCCCCTGAAGGGCTGTTTGGGTGATAAGCTGAGTTTTGATTCATTTGCCCAGCTGCCTGTGGGACTCTGAGATGCTGAGGTTTCCCTGCGGTGGAGTTGTTTCAGGATCAGCAGTGTGATCCAGGGAATGGTATTGGAGCCTTGATGACCTTGCCTTTTGGGTCCCATGCTTTCCTGCAGTTGTGACCTATTTGTCTTATTAAGACTATGCCAGATCCCCCCTGCGTACCTGGGGAGCCCCTATCTCCCTGATCCAAAGGCAGGTTGAACCTGGGGGGTGGGCTCAGCCAGAGGGATGAATTCCCCTTCTCTAGGAAGCGATGGCATGGTGGGGGCTGGTGGGGGGCCCGTGCTGGCAGTGGTGGCCGGCACCCTGCTCCCCACATGACCGAGGGATGTGTAATTCACCTTTCCATATGACCTTCCAGCTGGGGCTTTTTGGAGGGCCCCAGGCTCAGCTTGCCACACCAAACATTTCCTTGACGTATGGCTCTGTGTGCTGAGCACAGGGGAAGATCTTCCTTTGATTTCACCAGCAGTGCCTGAAGGTACAAACCCGTCTTTGCCGTCTTCTTGGCCATATTTCTGAAAGCTGTCCTTGTTCAGAAACAAAGATCAAGAAAACCCAAAACAGGCATAAAAGGAGAGGCTGGAAAAAATCATTCTTCAAGAGCCCATCAGACAAGACCACTTCATTGCATTGAAGTCTTAATTGCAGCCAAACTCACTTAGGAACCTACATTTATCTCAAAATTAATTTTGGAAAAAAGCTACAAGAATAAACTCTAAAGCCATGTAGCCCTGCTCCAGGAAGGGTAATAACTCCTAACATGTAGTTCTCACTGCTGGCTTCATCCCCAGGTGGCAAAGCACTTTCCAAAGAGGACAGACTGTTATCCCCATTTTAGAGAAGAGGAAAATTGAGTCACCAGAAGAGAAGCAACTTGCCCAAAGTCACCTCCAAAGCTAGGGGAGGGTGGATTAGATGGCATACTAAAGCTCTTAGCCTGTTTACCAAATACTCATCTGAAATTTTAGCTCCTAATACAAACACAATTTGGATTGCTTTCCACAGGGACTGCAGGTCTAATGTAGTTTGTTGTTTACTAAATCATAAGATGGAATAATCTTAGGTATGCAAGGAGGTCTGTCCTCTTTGTCTTGTTTATTTGTTTTGATTAATAGCAATCCACTGAGCATTGGGATTTATTTTATTTGCTTTCTCTTTTACCCTTTTGTCCTGTGCATTTACTTATTTTCCCTGTTTATACTTCTGTGTTCTATTCTGGGGGCATTGAAATGTCTTCTGTTTCATTTTACAAGTTGATAAATTGACTTTCCAATGTCTGTCTGCTTGCCATAGCCAGTGACTGCCATGTCCTTGTACCATACATCCTGCAGAGGGGCTGCCAAGAGCCTTGCAGCGAAGACCTGCTCCCCACAGGCTCTTCACCTCCTCTCCCCAGCCCCAGGCTCTCTCCGCATGCTTTGCAGGTACGTTGAGTTGGTCTTTGACTGAACAAGCCCAGGGTGATACATCCCAGAGGTGAAGGATGCTGTTCTGGTTATGGGGTACTCCATGTTTCTTCATTAGCTTCAGTTTGTGTTTCATATGCATGCAGAGGAGACAGCTGGCTGACCTCAGCTCCATCACATGCTCTTTAATTACTTTGCTTTATTTCCTCACCAGCCTTTTCTGCTCCAACTCTGCTGCAGGCCAGCTTAGGCTTTTGGATACCTTGGATGTTCCCACCAGTTCCTCCTGATGCCTCCTCCAGCCAGTGCATTCCTGGGACCCTTTCTGGGAGTGCAGGACCACTGATACCCATGTGACACAACCTCCCCCAGCTCATGCAGAGACCTGGACTCCGAGCTGGACCCCAGAGCAGGGGATGCTCCGATGTTTAGCTGTGCGGGGCAGCGGTGACCTCAAAGCTATGGACCGCTTGTAGATAATCTAGGGTTCAAAGTCCTGGGACTTTTTCAGCCTCATACCTGATGGTTTAGCTGGGACACATGTCTGTGCTATGTAACCAGAAAGTTATGAAACCGCCGATTATCTCCTTGAGAGCCAGCAGCTTCCTGAGGTCAGGATGTGAACATAGCTCTTACGTAAAGTGAAAACATTGAAAGTCATCTTTCTTTTTTTTTATTATTTTTTCCATGTCAGATGCTATTGGATCTCACCCGCTGCCTTTGATCTGAGTGGGGGCGGGTCGGTGCAGCCGGAGTGGGTGCAGGCCCAGCCCCCCGCCCTCCCCCCTGCGCAGCCTCTCCCCAGGGCTGGGGCTCAGCCCAGGTAATCGTGGGCGGAGAAGCCCATCCCCTCCACGGACACCTGAGCACCGGCATGCTGCTCTGCAGCAGCAGCAAACCCACAGCAGCATCCTCTGAGGCTGGGGGACAAGAAGCAACATGCATAAGCCTGCAGGTAACTCCCTATGTGGGGTGGGGAGCTCCAGGAGCGATGGTGTGACAGGAGGGGACACCGCGTGGTATCCCAGTTCTGGGTCCCCCACTGCCCCACAGGGATGTGATCTGCAGGCTCTGTGGCTTGGCAGAAAGGAACAGAGGAAAGGTTTATTGGGGAGAGGAGTTTGAGGCTCAGCAGGGGAGGTGGGTCTGCAGGAACCTGAAGTGGAGGGAGGAGGACGCTCCCAGGAGAAAGGGATGGGTGGGAAGGTGGACGGTCACCATGCCAAGAGAGCTTTGGCTGTGACTAATTTCTGATGGCTTGGGGTGCTTGTTTTATAAATATTTTTTCTGCAGCTTTAACCTTGCCTTGGTGCTTTCTGTGATAGCCATGTGTGCCTGGCGCACAGTGAGATGTTTGCTGCCTTTTTTTGCCATTTTCTAAAATCAACAGCTGCGTGTGGGAATCCAGGCTTCTCTGAACGGAGAGACTTTGTTCTCGCACAGCCTGATCTAAAGCCCATTGAAGCTTTTGAAAGACTCTTCTCAACTGCCTTGGGCTTTGGATCCGACTGTCAGTGGGTACTGCTTATACCTGCCACATGCAGCATCCTTTATTATGTATGAAAATAGACGTATGCTTTGCATACTCTCTAGCAGTGACTCCAGGGCCTCCCCAACGCAAGCAAAGGAGCGCTGGGGAGCATCCAGCTTTTCTACTTCTTTTCCAGCAGTATAGCCCGTAGAAAACACTTCAGCTGGCATATGTTTCCCTCACCTTCTTGAAGGTGAGGGAGAGTTTAGCACCCTGGTTCCTGCCATGAGCAGCAGCTTCCCCACCCCAGCTGCTTCCTCCTCCTCCCTGTGCTCCCATTCCACCCCCAAAGCTGCTACCTCTCCCCTTGCCATTGCTGCTGACTTTGCTGGCTCTACCGATGCTGAGGCCATGCTGTTAAGTTAAGCTGAACCCCACTGGCTCTGCTTGGGACCCCCTGCAACGTTTAATGGCCAGGCAGTCGGGTTTGGCCCATGCCACCAGCCCACTCTCAGCCCCACGTGGGCTATGGCATGCCTGTGTCCTGGTGCGTGGCCCTGCCCCGACTCATGGGTGGTGGGTTTGGAGCCACGGAGCCGCCCTAGGAATGCCATGACCACACTCCCACTTCCTTCTGCTACAGCTCCATCCATACGATGGGCATGTATCACATCTGGGTTTAATGTATTTGTGTCAAGCAGTAGCATAGGGTCTCCTAAGAGGCTGCAGTTTTGTGTGCAGGGTTCTGGTGGGGCAAAGAAATAGCTCGAGCATTGCGTTGTGGTTTCCATAAACAGGATTGCCTGGTGAAATGCAACAGCTGAGGTGTATTTACACACTAAGACAAAGTGGTGAATGTTGTGGGAAGCTGTTGTCAATGCCTGAGGTGCCTTGGTGAATATGATGGCTGGGACTGTTTGGGAAGATTTTATCAGAATGGATTTCCAAGTGTTTAGTGCTGAGCAGCTCCTGCCGAAGCGCTTGGCATCTGAGCACCAAGCTGTCTGGCAGCACGGTGTTTGTGTGGATCAGGTTCAGTGCTCTGCCCTGGCTGGGAAGGAGAGCTCTTCTGGAAGTCATTGCTAGGGCTGCAAAATAGATCTAGAGACTGGAAGGTGAAATGAGGGTAGCCCAGAAATGGGAACCAAAGATCTAGTCCCACATCTTTGGATGTGGTATCTTTGCTTTGTTTTTGCCAAATCCAGACTGCCTTCTTGTTTGCTTTTCTCTGTGCTTTCTCCTGGGTAGTCCCCTGCAAAAACAGTGCAGCGTCCTCCCCTTTCCTGGCTGAGCTCCCCCACCCAAAAAGTGCCATCTAAGCCCAAGCTACAGAGTTTAATTTCGCTTCTGGAGCAGCGTGTCCCTTCATAACGCTGCACTGCCTGCCTGCTCAGGGGATGCTCATGTCTCCCCCTACAGCCCCCACCTCCAATCCTGACTCCTCCTGACTTGAACCAAAAGCGCCTGATTCTGGAAAAAGTAGAAGCTGCAGTCTGTTATGCAGCTTTGTTGTAAAGCAGACTGACTGTACTCTCAGCATCTACCGAGGAAGATGCTGGAAACCATCCTGCTGGCAACTGTGGTCCATTTTAAGACCTGCCACCTTATCTTTTTTATAAAGCTCATGCAGGCTTAAAGCAGCCCCTTCCTGTTTTTTCATGGTAGGGCTTGAACTCTTCTGCTTTGCACCTGGCAGCATTTTCCTCCTTTGAGTGAGCTCCCTTTTTTTCTTTTTTTTCCCTTGTATGCATGAAGAAGATGATGCACAATTAAGTGGGAATGGGAGAGAGATGTCTATAGATAGAGCCATCGGGAGGCAACCAGGCAATTTAGTTTAGTGTTGAATACGGTTCA